TATTTACTCTCGTCATCATCCTAAAGGTCCCTCAGTATCTGGCAAACAGATCAGCTGAGAGATGGAGAGCAGCATCAATGGAACAAACCACGCAGCCAGCCGGGGCCCCGATTAGGAAGAGAGGATGTCTTCAAACCATCCTCATTACTGCTGCTCTCGTGGAAGAGTTCTCGTTCTAGTCTCCACATCTTTTTCCGTTTATCCACCTCCTTACCCTTCTTTCCCTTTGCATGTGAAGAATGAACATTCTTGGGGCCTCGTTGGTGGTGCAAGGGTTTAAGTCTCAGCACTGTGAAGCTCTCCGCAGTCACTGCAGCATGAACTCGATCCCCAGCCAGGGAGGTGACCCACATTGTGCAGCAGACCTCTCCTGTTGTCTTGCCCACTGCTCCCCTCAGCAGTGTTTTTTGGTCACTTTGCTTGTTCTGCTCCCCACTCTGTCTCTGGTGAATCCTCTCACTCTCCAAACCTCTGGCCTGTACCCCAGTTCTTGTATGCATCAATAAATAAATCTTAAAAAAAAAATGAACATTCTTCATGTTCAACTTCCAGTGCAGTAATTCTCAGAGCAACTGTTTGCCATTCACTGTTTGAAATTCCACCTGATTGCTAGAAGTTCCACATGTCCTCTGCCTGCATCTCTCTTCCTTGCTATTTGTTTTATCCCTGACATCCTTTATTTCTGTAAACATCTCCCGCAGGCCACATCAGCTCCTGTCCCCAGGGGTCTATACCTGTTGCCTGTTTTCTGCTCTCAACTTGCCATCCCGTGACTTGGTGAGTCTTGCACCTGGGCTTCCTCCTCCACGGCCCATGCGGAAACCTAAGTATCTGACCCTTTTATCCCATCACTGCCTTTACTTCTCTTCATAGCACACAAACTATTATATTTACTGGTTAAATTGCTCTCTGGTGTCTTCCTGATGGGTGACTTACTTGTCCTCAGCCACTGGAGCAGAGCCTGGCGTGTAATGAGGCCTAGTGTTATGTGATGGGAACACGAATCCATGAGCCAGAAGGCTGAGGGCCTGTCGTCAAAAGGCTCTCAGTCTGGCAGCTGAGACAAACGGGGACCCAGAGAGCCACACTATAGGAGAGCACTGCTGTTTGGGCGCTGGGGAGAGGGCAGAGCTGCACTCAGCTTAGATCTTAGAAGTCAGGAATGGCAGGGAGGTCGTGGACCAAAGCTCAGGAACGTGTTCCAGGCAGAGGACAAGGCTCTGTCCTGGCAAATGAGCGCAGCTCACTGTGGCAGGGTCGATGAGGGGGTGAAGATGGGGAGGTGGAAAGCAGGTCTAGAGAAATGGGCCCTGGCTCTTTAGCTCCTATGGGAGGAGGGAGGGCGTGTGGAGGTTTCCAGCAGGGAAGGACATGATAGGGGTGCAGCGTGCAAAATTCTCTCTGGCTGCTGCATGAAGCTGGGGCTGGGCATGGGAAGTAGGGAGACACCCAGAGCGAGACGGCTCTGCAGTGCTGGAGGCTGGGCCGGAGAGGATCCATGTTGTGGGGTACAAGGCGGACTCTTAGGCAGTCCTGGTGATGACCCTGGCTGGCAAGGGGTATACTGGAGGAAGCTTGACTTGAGTTGGCAACTGTGTGGGTTCACACGGGGGCTTGCAGAGAGCACGTGGTGAGCTCAGGGTAAAGCGAGCATACCCAGACTCCAGACAGGTGCTCCTTTCTAAAGGGTCATGAGACTTAGCAAGAGGAAAAGAAATCTTCAGGATGTCCGGCTAAACTTGAATTTCAGATAAACAACAAATGCTTGTTTAAGATGTGTTCCCCTAATTGGACATTCTGTATTTTATCTGCCAGCCCTGCTTTCAAGCCCCCTCACCACAGACATGCTAGGACTTTCTGAAGTAAGGGCAGTAAGACGATGCAGAAGCTGCCAGTGTTGGTCCCTCCGGCGTCTGCTCCTCACCCTTCACCAAGCACCTCCTCAGACACCCTGCCCCAGCACAGTGGTCCCCCAGATTCTAACTGCTCCATCTGCCTGTGAGTCTGGAAACTCCCAGAATTGGACCCAGTCTGGGCTGGGCCAGAACCCTGCTGGGAGTGAGGGAGAACAGGCAGGCCCCAAGGAGTGTCTCTCTCTTCCCAGAGTGAAGCATTCCAGGCAGTGGTCGCTGCCCAGAGTCTGGATCCTGGCCAGGCCCAGGGCCTCACGCTGGGTCCACTTCCTGGAAGACCAGGCCCATCTCTGAGGAGGTATCACTGTGGCCACAACCTTTTGGGCAGGCCTGGACTTGGTAGGGTCCAAGTGGCAGAGTCCGGGGGTTGGTTGGGGGTCCTCATCAAAACCCTCTCATTGGACCACTGCTGCCCCAGAGGGGACATGGCTCCTCAGCACCCACATTCACAGGGACTACCCCCAAAGCCTGGGGTACATCTTGGGACTGGGCCGAACCAAGGCAGCTGGGATCGGGGTGTATGTCTCCCTGATGGAGGGAGGTTAGGTGCTCTGCTTGGAGTCAGACTAGAAAAGAGACCAGCAGTTGGAGAGATTCCTGGAAGAGGTGGTAAGTGAGTCCCTGGGACTTTAAATAGAGTAGGGTGGAGAGGTGAGAGCACTTGTGAGGACAGCCTGGAGCTTGTCTTGTGTAGGGAATATTCCAAAACTGCCAAAGGCTAACAAAGGCTCTCTATTCTGGCACAGAGTGGGAGGAGGTGGCAAAGGTGAGGGACAGGCCAGACGGGGCGCCCCAGTGAGGGGCAGGACCTGGGGCTAGTCGGCCTCTGGACTCAGCTGACACAGTTAACAGCAAAAAGACGGCCTTCTCGGCCCTCCCTGGTGGCGCAGCAGGTTAAAGCACAGCACTAAGAAGCTAAAGCCGCTTCCATATGAGTTCGATCCCCGCCTGCCCCGGAGGTGACCACATGGTGCGGCAGACCTCTCCTGACTGGCCCGCTGCTCCCCGCTGCTCCCCTCAGCAGTGTACTTCACTAATCAGCCTGTTCTGCTCCCCACTCTGTCTCTGGTGAACCCTCTCAGCTCCCACACCTCTGGCCTACACCCCAGCTCTTGTATGTATAAATAAATAAAATAAATCTTTAAAAACTTAATAATAGCAAAAATACCAGCCATAACAGTGACAACCATTCCTCTGTGCAAAGCCTCTTCAAATGGCTTCTCACTGTCACCATCATTTGCTTTCTGGAGAATCCAAAGGTTGAGGGTTCCATTTCTTGATATAATTTTACAACTGAATTTTGTATTGTGTTGTTTTCTTTGCTTATCTTTTTAATTACATCTGGCCTCATTTTCATTTCTTGATCTTATATTCTCAGAGTTCACTTTGTGTCTATGAATCAGGTAGGCAGAAGATGTGGGGTGATGGGTGGGAATAATAAAAATTGGTCATCCAGGGTTTCTTACTGTTATTGTTATTATACCGAAGTAGATGGCAATAATAAGCAAAACAACTAGCCTTTGGGTTATTAGGGTTATTTCCTTTTTTCTTTTTTTCCATGTTGAAAGGACAGTTGTATTAGTCAAAGGAGGAAGAAAAAGAGTTATCTGCATGGACACAGGTGGGCAGAGAACTGCTTTGCAAAGGGGGAAAGCTTTATGAAAAGAAATGACTGAGCTGTCACAGGAGAGCTGCCTGAATTATTTTATTTCAGTGTCAAAATAGGGACTACTATTGTTTTAGAGATAAGAAAACCAAGCCACAGAGAGGTGGGTGGCTTGTCCACAGTCACATGGTCAGCCGGTGACATCCAGGTCCGGGCAGTCTGGCTGCAGCGCCTGCATCTCTGGCCACCCAACAAAGGGCTATTTACATCAAGAAACGGACAGAGAGCAGTGGCGCCCCCTGAGAAAGGAGATCTGGCTGTGACTCCCTCACGGTGCAGCTCAAAGTCATCAAGCTCTGCCTGAGAGCCCAGAGCAGGGCCCTGAGGGCCTCCATGGCCCCGCTCTAATGCCAAGGATGCCCAAGGCGCCCCAAAGCCCAGGGGGGCAGCTCTGTTGTGAAAAGAGAGAAATGGCCACGTAACAGAGCTAGCATTCCTCACACCCCTCCATCTGGGGTGTCCTGTCCACAGAGGGCCACGAGCCCGAGACATGGTTTGGGAGACATAAGGCTTCTGAACGCAAGCCAACAGCACCCCCTGGTGCACAGGCGGGGAATGGCGCTGGCTTCCGCTTGATTAGCCAGCCAAGGTCCAAGCCATGGTGATTTCCTGCAACGGCAGCCTGAGCTTGGGGTTCAGAACCCACACCCTCACCTCCACCTGGAGAGTCAGTCCTACCCGGTCATGAGATAGCCACGTCATCAGGGCCCCGCTGCCTCAGGTAGAGGGGAATCAGAGCAGTGGTGGAGAAGCTGGTCTTTTGTGGACGGTGGGTTTGGAGGTGGAGTCATCAGGAAAAGAGGAAGAACCTTGAGCAAGATAGACTGGGAAGGTCTCAGACACTGGGTAGGTCTCAAAGCTCGGGGTTGGGGGCGCCGGGCCAGGGAGCCAGGATGAGGTATGTTCTTCCCAAAAGAGGATGATAGAGCACAGCACATGCTTCCAGGAGGGGCTGACTGAGACCCCACCCCCAGGTGGAGAAAAGGGGACATGTCAGGGCGGGAAGCCCACCCCAGTGGGACCTGCCTCCCGTCTTCACAAAGCTCTTGGGCTAGGCAGAATCAGTCACCTGCCATAAGATCACAGACGTGGAGATCACGAGTGAGAGAGAAACGGCAGGTCCAAGATGAGTCATAAGTGAGCCTCCAAGTCAGGTCCTTCAAGGCCTCAGCCCCCTAGCCAGCACTCTGCCCACAGGCCAGCAGGGCCAGGCACCAGGGAAAGGTTTGCCATCCCAGACGGGGCTGGACCTGCGCTGAGCACACCACCCTTGGACACAGCACAACCCCACCTCTGGGCCTGGGAGGCCATGGAGGTGGAGAGGCCTCATGTCCAGTGGGCCTGCCACCTTCTCCAGTGAGCGCCAGAGCCCTGGCCCACAGCAGCCTGCCAGGCCGGAGGTCCCTGCCCAGGAGAAGAGACTACTGCACTGTCCGGGAGGAGTTGAATGTCTCCATTTCAGTCTCTGCCCCCGCTGCTGAGCGGCTCTTCTGGGACCAGAACCACAGGAAGAGGAAGAAACCTGCAGGCAGAGGGCTGGTCAGTGGAGCATGCTCCCCCAGACTCCAGGAACCCCTGAGCTGGCGTGAGCAGCCTCCCACCCCACCACCCCGCCCCGGGCCCAGGAGAGACTCACGAATCTCTCACAGTTCAAGGCCAGTTGGCCAGAGCTTAAGAGCTAGAAACCCGGTGGACCACAAGCCCATAGGGTGCCCTTGTACAAGCCAGAGGTGGGGTTCCCTGCATAAGCTGATACACCCCCACTCTGGTTAGACACCGGGCGGGAATCATGGGCGGGATCTGAACCCCAGTTTGTCCCACTCCCATCATCCAAAGCCCTACCGGAAGCACACCGCCCCTGGCTCCCTCCAGGCCGCCTACCGTAGAGCGAGTTGAAGATGGTGAAGAGGAAGAGCTGGGGCAACAGGAAGACGCCATAGGAGAAGAAGCCCAAGACCCAGGTGGTGCCCAGCAGCACCGTGAGGCCCAGCACAGTGACTGTGTCCTGGCAGGCCCTGGTGCCCTGCACCGCCGTCCGCGCCCGCAGCCTGCACAGGAGCCACTGCACCCAGACCAGCACCGCCAGGTTGAAGAGGCACGTGAGGCTGCTGTAGCCCATGACCAGCACAGCGTGCACCGTGTTGCTCTGCAGCCAGCACCTGCAGAGGTCACATGCCGGCGGTGGCGTGGCTGCCCCGGCCAGGGGCAGCGGCCTCAGACGCCAGCCTGCCCTGCCACAGGCTGAGAGCCTGAGGAAGGCTGTGGCAAAGCCCCCTGGAAAGCACCCCCGTCTAAGCCGTGCCTTCTCTCTGCCCCTGCCGACGCCACATCCTGCAGACACCCGGTCCAGAGCCCCAGGGGGCCCTTATGCAAAGCCAGAGCCTGCCGCAGCCACGTGGACACTCACATGAACTGGCTCTGGAGGCCCGTGCTGTTTCCCGGGCTGTCAGAGATGGTGACCTGGTGGCGTCCATACACTGAGTCCTCGCTGGCAAGCAGGAGCAGTACAAGGAAGGTAGGGAGCCCTGAAGGGGGGACAGAGGCTCAGCACCTGTCGGGAGAGCTCAGAGATGGGTCACAGCTGACCCACCGCTGGGCCATAGCACGGGTCCTTGAGGCTTCCTATCAGAAGCGCAGGGGCTGGCGGTGTGAGACAGCCTGCTGGGAGCTCGCGGGCCTGGCCTGCAGCCCTGTGTCAGAGCGCTAGCCTGGAGTCTTGCAGAGGGCTGCTCGCTGGGGGGTGCGGGTGGGAGAGCAGTGGCCACACTGGGGAGGTGGTGGACAAAAGGGTGGGGACACTGAGGTAATAAAGGGGTTAAAAAGTGACAGAAGTGCCCCCTGACGGTGGCGAAGACAGGATGAGGATGGTGGCGATGCTGGAGAGGGCGGTGGGAACGTAACCGACGTGGTGGTGGCTGTGACGGCGGTGACAGAGACAGAGGTGATGGAGGTGACGGTGGGGTTGGAGTGGATCTGGCGAAAGTGGTGGTGGTGAAGTTGGAGGGAAGCAGGGTGGGATGTGGCCGTGTTGGGGTGGCAGCGATAGTGTGGTCACCTAGAGGCAGAGCAAGACAAACAGGAGGCCAGGAAGGGCCGGGCGCCCTCTTGGCTGGAAGCCTTGGGAAGGAGGAAGGGCGGGAGCGATGCTTACCCCAGCCCACCAGACAGAGCTTGAGTACATATCGGCGGAAGTATGTGTTGTAGACTCGTCCGAGGAAAATGTAGAGGTTGAAGCCTTCGATGGCCATCCAGGTGAAGCAGCTGAGCAGCGCCCAGTGCAGGATGGCGGCCAGAGCTGTGCACATGGGCCTGGGTACAGACGGCCCGGCCAGCGTGGGGCTCAGCAGGAAGGCGACGTTCAGGAACAGCACGGAGGCAAGCAAGTTCATGTGGATCCGCGTCGTGGCGTCCTTCTGCTTCCTGCGGCCGGGAGCACGGCCCTCAGTGGCCTGGAGCCATCACCAGGCCGTGCCACCCCTGAGCTCACACACATACAAGTGACAGGGGCCCTGAGGTCGACGGGGACAGAGACCAAGCAGCCTCCAGCCTGTAAGACGCCTCCCCCTCTGGGGAGCCAAGTGGGGAAAAGGAAGGGTGCTGAGCCACAAAGGAGGGCAGGGCCAGCCGGGGCGGGGTACCTGTTGTGGAAGTGCAGCCCAAAGCTGAGCAGCGAGGCCACGACGGAGATGCTGCAGCCCACGATGGAGATGGTCGTGAGGGTGTTCAGCAGCTTTTCAGGGACTGTGGACTGGGCGATTTGCTGTGGGGAGAGAGGGGGAGCCAGAGGCCAGAGGCATGGACCTGCCTTCCCTGGCTCAGCTGGACAGACCACTAAGGCCTGAGCCCCAAACCTCCTGGCCCCACAATCCTAGCTCTGATCTTGGCTTAGAAAGAGTCATGGCAGACAAACACTCTCCCACTCCCAATTCCACTTTCGTCCCTCATTGAGGACCCCCGTCCCTCATTCGGTGCACATAGGGGACCTACCACTACCCCACTGCAAGGACAGGTGCACCAGGCCTGGCCGGTAGGAGGCCTCCCTCCTCCTGCCCACACTGACTGGTTAATGGATGACACATGGTGATACAGTCTGCTGTGGTGGGACTCAATTCCAAGACTTTGGGTAGCAGAATTGGGTAAAACTCATTCTACTGGCCTAAAAGCTAGCGGGACATAAGTCTAGAACTGCTGGAAACCACATTATTATCCCATGGGGAGAGCCTGCTAGCACAAAGCAAGCACAACAGAGTCCAGGGTCTTGTGGCATTGAGCCCCTGGATCAAGCCATGCCTGAAGCTTACCCAGCCTTTTCAGGACCACAGATCCCTAGGTGTCACTGCTGTTCCTTCTTATACACATTTGAATTGGGTTTTCTGTCCCTTGCATCAGACTTTGCCTTTTGCCCTGGACACGGCCCCTCTGCAGTTCTGACCCCCTCACTGAGGCTGGCTGTAGACGTACCATGAGGACAGCAAAGTAGGTGAGGTGGCTGCAGCGGCAGAGCACTTGGGAAGATGAGGGCTGCTCTGTGCGACAGCCCTCGGAGCTCCAGAACCCCCAGTTGTCCCGGCTCATGTTTTCCTTCCAGAAGACACAAGTCGGTATATAGTCTTTCTGAGGAGAGACACTGGCATTGAGCGCATCCGAGAGATTCAAGGGAAGGCCTGTAGGATCAGAGACTGAAAACTGGGGGGTCACAGGTGACTCAACTGCACCCTTATCAACAATGTCCTAGGCACTGGCTAGACTTTGGCATCTCACAGACCCAGATCCCAGCCCCGCTGCCACCGTGGACTCTGAGAAGACCTGGGAAAGTTGCAGAACTGCTCAGAGCCTGAGTTTATCCACCTGCCAAATGTAAGCCCATACCCAAGTCACAAGGGGATGGTGGAAAACTAAAAGCATCGAGAACCTTGTCTTCCCAGCTCTCACCTACACGCGGGGCTCCACAATCCGCTGCCCCCCATCCTCTCCCTCATGAGGAAAACCGAGGCCCATACCCAACCCAGTGGGGAGACTACTCAGCCACAGACCTCCCTGATATCAAGCAACGTGGGTGAAGGGGTCGGGGGAGAATGACAGACAGCACCAAGGAAAATCACGGTAGAAGGGCCAGAGCAGCCCTGGGCAGGGAAGGGACTGTCAAGACACTGAGGCAGCGAAGACATGGTGGATTTCCACAGACATGGAGCAGGCGCACTCCATGAGGGAGGGAACCGCAGGCGTCGAAGCCAGAGGAGTCAAAGGAGAGGGTGGGAAGAGGAACCAGAGCCTTCCTGGGATGCAGAGGCTGACGGGGAGATGGGGCCAGAGCACAGTGCTCTGGAGTGCCAGGACAGATGGGCAGAGGCATCAGGACTTGTGACCCCCAGAAGCCCTTCTCCCTTCTTCAGGAGTGGCACCTGCACATCCCTTGAGAGCCCGCCCCTTCCCCAATGGCAGTCAGCTAAATCCAGCCCAGACCAGTGGCCAGGTGACGCAGGCCTAGCTGGTCCACACATCTGTCCCTGAGCACAGTGATGGCCCAGGGATGGACACATGACTCACTGGACCTTTAGGACTCCACTCTGGGATCCAGTTTTGCAAAGGTGCCTGCAGGGAAGAAGGCCATCACTTTAGCTGCCATCTTGCCAGAGTGGAGACCCAAGGCAGGAAAACACTGCTGAGCCGGAGACAGGCCCAGTCGTAGTGACGTCAGGTCATCCCCTGGATCGAGCCATACCTGAAGCTGGTCCCTCACATTTCATTTACAAAAGCCACTAAATTCTCTTCTGTGTTCTGGCTGCTTCAGTGGCTTTTCTATCGTTTGCCACTCAGAGAATTCCAGCTAATGAGGGGACTAAATGTCTCTCGCTATTTCCTTGGCAGGAATTTTCAAGGTGATGAGTTTAAAACAGTATGCTCCCAAGATGGTTCCACAGGTTCAGGTTTGGTTAAACCAAAGCTCAACAGAACAGCCACAGAGAAGCAGGGATGGAAATAGGGGCGCCCCCCCCAAATGTACCTGACTGTGGTTGTGCCAGAAGCTGATGTTGATGGGCTCGTTGAGGTTTTTCACTTGTTCCTGTCCCAGCCGGGCACCGAGGATATAGTTATTGAGCAGAAACGTGTTGCCGCCACTCTGGAAGAACAGCAGAAGAGAAGACTGCAGGGGACATGGATGAGGAGAGCCTCTTCTCCAGCGCCTCTTCCCTGGATGAGTACAGGGGCGTGCTCCCCAGGGCCAGCCTGGCTGTGCCCCCAACTCCTGGAAAGCAGCCCCCACCCACTTGTTCTTCTTCCCTTTGTCGAATGCCTTCCAGCCTAATGGCCCCCACCCCACAACACCCACACCATCCTAACTCACTTTCGAAGTCAAAGTGAAAAGACACCTCCTCCAAAAGCCCCCCTAAATTGGGAACAACCCCAACTCCACACCAACTCATCCACGGTTTTGTATCTCTAAGGTCATCCTCAACCTTGAGTTAAAACTAAGCCTGAACGTCCTTGTCTAGATTCAAGACAGAGAATTCTCTGCCGACGGGGATCTTGCCGCCTTTGTGTCTGCGGGGATCTTGCCACCTTTGTGTCTGTCTCCCCTAGGGACAGGGTCGCAGCAGGTATAGTTTGCACGGGTGACTGCTCCCCTGCCAGCGCACTAAGCTCAGGCCGGGGCAGGGCAAGCGGGGGCTGGCTCTGCTTGCACAGAGGGTTGGGCTGGTCCCGCCAGGAAGCTGGTGGTGGCATGGATACCAGGAGTGCCCCAGACAGGGGACAGGAACGGCCCTCTCTTGGCTCACCCTGGCACTGATGTGGAAGAAAAAGTTGTTGAAGAAGTAGATGCAGATGAGACGCAGATCCCTGGCCGGGTTCTTGCAGGCGCGCTGGGTCAGCTCGGCAGGGAACTGCATGGCGTGCTGGGCCCGGGCCTGGAGAGCCACAGACTGCTGGGCCTGGGCTCAGGCTTCCGCCCTGACCCCAAACGCCCCAAGCCCCAACCATCACCGCCCCAATAGCTGTGAAACCTGCAGACCTCAGCCTAGGGGATTCCCTTCCAAGGACTCTCCTCCCAGACTGTGCCTCCTCCAAACTCCCGGAGGTCCCAGGCTGCTTCAGCCCACCTGGGACCCCTGGGGGGGAGCAGCTCACCCCCAGCACCCCTCCAGTCAGCAGGGATTGAGCCAGGGGCCTCAAGGAGCCAGGCTTTGCTGGCCTCTCCTACTGCTGCCTCCCCTCAGGGACCTACAAAGGGAGGAGGAGCTCCCAGGAGAGTCTAGAAATTTCCCCCCTTTGTCATGCAGGCCCCTCACAACCAGTTAAGGTGGAGTCTGGATGGAGTGTGGGGAGGCCCATGGAACATGGGGAAAGTCCTAGAGGGTGTCTGGGGTGGAAGAAACCAGTCCCCCCACCCCTCTCCCTACCTGGGAGGTATGCTTCTGAGCGGTGCTGCTCAGAGAGAGGCCGGCAAATGCACAGTTCAGCTTGAAGGCGAGGCTATGGATATTGTCTGTCATCAAGCTGACGTTGGAAGCACTGAAGTTCAAGCTCAGCAGGCTGTTCTCCAGGCCCTGGATGAGTCTGAGGGCAAGACAGTGGGCAGAGAGGGGCTCTAGATGCCTCCCCCACTCCACACCCAGGCTACCCCAACCTCTGGGCCTTTGCACACACATACCTCCCCACCTCACCTAGTCCTGCCTCCCATGAGTTCTTGTTCAGGTCCTGGTTTGTTGACACCTCCTCCGAGAAGACTTCCTTGCCTGCTCCCTGCTGCTGACTGTGTAAGGTGAGTCCACCACCCCTGCGCTTACCTAGTCAGATATCAGTACTGACCTCTCACCCAAAAGTGCTCAGCCCTTGGGCCACAGACTCCGGAGAGCCCAGTCTAAGTCCTCAAGTCCCTTCCTGGAAAACAGGGAGACCCACGATCCTGCACCTAGTTTCACGGTGAAGGGTCCTGCTCTAGTGAACTGTGAGGCCATCTCCAGCTGCTCAGTAAGTGTGTGATGAATAAACGCAGGCTGGTACCCTACGCTGGACTCTACCCCGGGGCCCCTGATTCAGGCTGTAAGCTGGAGGTGGGGGGCGTGACACAGCTGACTCTGGGAGGTGAGGAGGGACACCCACTCACTCAGAAGGAAGTAAGGGGTTCCGGGTTATGGGTGCCAGCTCCATTTTGCGCATCCACTCCATTGGCTCTCTGGGTAGCTCTGTGGGGAGTGCAGTCAGTACAGCCTGTCTGTAGTGCCGTCCCCACCCACCGCCTCTGGGACCCCATCTCTAACTCTCCCTTGTTGCTTTCCCAGGAGACCCCAGCGCCCCCTTCTCCATCTCTCTGGGTTTCAGGCCTCTACCTTCCACACAGCAGTCAGGGGCAAGGACCCCCACTTCAGCACAGCCCTCTTACCCTCTGTCCTGCTCTGAGACACCAGGAGGCACAGGCACAGGAGGAGGACCCCGCTGCGGTCCATCCCTGCACTCCGGCTCCTCCAGGAAATGGCTCCTGGCCTGGAGAAGGGGCAAAGGATTCATCCATCGATTGCCACCCTCTTACTGGATGGTGCATTTCAGACGGGAGCCCAGGCTTGGACAGCAAAGGGCACTGCTCTCTCGAGGCTGCTGGGTTTCTGTGACGCACTGCCCTGATCAGCTCACCACTGGAGGTGCGCCCCTCCCAGAATGAGATCTCTCTGGGGGCTTCCCAGGGGTACAGACCCAACCCGGGGGAAGGTGCTTGGGCACAGGCAAGCAGGAACCCTGTGCAGCCCTGTTGTTGACCCCTGTGTGACCTCAGGCAAAGGTCTATCCCTCCTGGTCTCATTTTCTTCCTCCAAAGAAAGAGAATAGAAAAATAATGAAATAAAAGCATTCAAAGGAGAACAAATTAAGCGCAAAGTAAGCAGAAGGAAGAAAATACTGAGATGAGCTTAAATCAATGAAATAAAAAGTAGCCAAATAGAGAAAAATCAATAAAACCAAAAACCAGTTATTTGAACAAGTTAATAAAATTGATAAATCTCTAACCAGAATGATCCAGAAAAAAAGAAGCAGACACAGCTGTCAATATTAGCAATAAAAGAGGGAGTGTCACTAAAGAAACTATGACATGAAAAAGTTAAAGGGAAACAGTAACAATCTATGATGATAAACTATACAACTTAGATGGCAAAATTCTTTGAAAGGCACAAACCATCAAAGATTGTTCAAAAAGTAATAAGTAATATGAATAGTGCTTTATGAAAGGAATTGAGTTTTAGTCTAAAAATTCTCATGAGCCTCCCTGGTGGCCTACGGGTTAAGTCTCAGTACTATCACCATGAGGGCCTGAGTTGGACCCCCAGCCAGGGAACTGACCCACATGGTGCAGCAGACCTCTCCTGTATCACCTGCTGCTCCTCTCAGCAGTGTACTTCGTCGATCTGCCTGTTCTGCTCCCCACTCTGTCTCTGGTGAATCCTCTCACTGCTCTCACCCCTGGCCTATATCCCAGTTCTTCTATGCAAAAACAAATATATAAAAATCTTTAAACAAAAAAGGAATTAAACTTCTGGTTTTTGAGGGTATCTATTAAAAGAGAATGAGGGGCCCACCCTGGTGGCACAGTGGGTTAAAGCACAGCACTAAGAAGTAAAAGCAGCTTCAGCACAGTTCGATTCCCGCTCGCCCCAGAAGTGACCCACATGGCGCAGCAGACCTCTCTTGACCCGCCCACTGCTCCCCTCAGCAGTGTGCTTTGTCAACCTGCCTGTTCTGCTCCCCACTCTGTCTTGGGTGAAGCCTCTCACTGCTCCTGTAACTCTGGCCTGTACTTCAGTTCTGTATGCACAAATAAATCTTTTTAAAAAAGAGAGAGAGAGAAAATACTAGGTACCGACAGGAAGAAAATATTTGCAAACAAATATATGACTTCAAAAAAATCTTGTGGGGACAGCCGACTAATTGGGAAAACATTTTCTCACACAAAAGCAGTGATAAAGGACTGATCACAAAAATATACGGAGAACTGACGAAACTCAACAAAAATAAACAACCCCATCAAAAAATGGGCAGAAGAGCTAAAAAGACACTTCTCCAAAGAGGAAATGCAGATGGCCAACAAGCATATGAAAAAATGTTCAACATCACTCTAATAAGGGAGATGCAAATTAAAACCACAATGAGATATCACCTCACCCCTGTGAGAATGGCACATCTTCAAACAACTAGTAACAACAAATGTTGGCGAGGATGTGGAGAAAAAGGAACTCTCCTGCACTGCTGGTAGGAATACAAACTAGTACAACCACTATGGAAAACTGTTTGGAGGTTCCTCAAACTGCTAAACATGGAGCTTCCCTACGACCCAGCAATCCCACTCCTAGGTCTCTACCCAAAAGACACAAAAACACTAATTGAAAAAGATACTTGCACCCCCATGTTTATTGCTGCTTTATTTACAATTGGAAAAACATGGAAGCAGCCCAAATGCCCAAAAGTAGATGACTGGAATAAAAAGATGTGGTACATATATACAATGGAATATTACTCGGCAACCAAAAAAGGGAAACACATGTCTTTTGCAGCAACTTGGATGGAGCTGGAAAAGATCATGCTTAGTGAGATAACCAGAAAGAGAAAGAAAAACACTGGATGGTTTCGCTCATAGCAGGAATATAATGGACCAGGCAGGAAGATAATAAGAATAATCAACAGCCATATACCAGAGACATTTTGTGGGGGTGGAGTGGGGAATGGGATAAAAAACAGGGGCGGGGGGGGAAGGGAAGTGCACAGGACTATGGTAATGGCACACGGGTGGCTCGGTGATGGGAAACCCACGGGGATTACAATTGAGATGAAAAAAAAAAAGGTACAAAATGATGTAAAAATAAACTATTATATTATAAAAAAAAACTGCTCTCAAAAAGTTGAGTTTCATTTTATGTAAACATTTGTAGCTCAGACTTCAGCAAATCAAAACAAAGCCATACAGACAGGATGGAGATGAGGAAATGCTAAGTTCCCTCCCCTCGTGGGGAGCAAAGTCACAAAACTGGTCACAAACTTCAAAAAGGAAGAGCCACAAAATTCAAAATA